GAGCTCCCAGTCTCCTGTGACATAAGGAATTAATCTTCCTTTGTCACCTCTTTTCTGTATCTGATGTCCTGTCCTTAGAGACAGGGTGGGGACTAACAGAAAGCAAAACGCTTGAATACAGACATTTTCAGGTGGATCTGCTTAGGCAAAATATATTTGTTCATGACTCTCAACTTATTTATTTTTCACTTTTTTTTCTTTCTTTTTTGACCTGAGGTGAATTGCTCTATCTCATCAAGGCTTTTATTTACTTGAAAAATAGAAATCACTCTTGGTGTCTCAAGGGGAATGGGGAAGTTAAGTGATTTATGCAAGCATGTGTGTAAAACTCAGTCCACTGTGTGGACAGACCTAAGAGCGCGTCTGTATTTGTTATTATTACTGTTGTTGTTGTTGATGATGATCAACTCCAAGGACACATTCTCTCTGTTGGTAACAGCAGCAGACAGAGCCAGGATTAGGCACATCAGAGGTATCCAGATAGAGCCTCCACACTTGGGGAAATGGGGATTAAGATTCCTCCTGTGACTGCCAGCAGGGAGACAGTGTGGCTTTGAGGCTGGGGTGTGTGATGGTGGATGAGAAGATAGTAGAGCCCTTGCTTCCAACCCTGCCTCTGTCACTTTGTGCATTTGTGACCTTGGAATCATTTTTCTCTCTATGGCCTTGGTTTCTCTATTCAGAAATAAGACTGAGGAAAAAGTAGCTTGCAGGGTTTTGATGAGGCTCACACAAAATTAAGGCTCCCAGAGGCCTGGCTCACGGTGAGTGCTGGCTAAGGGCAGCCTGCATTAATGCGGCTGCTTTCATTAATAGTCATTAAAAGAGCATTGTCTGAATAAGTGCTGCATAAGGGAAGTTGCCTCTGCGCCAGATGAAGAGGACTTTAAAGGAAAGGGCTCAAGGCTCAATGTCAGTGATCTGCCTCTAGTCCTGCCAGCTAAGGACATGTCACTCAGCTGCCTAGGCAGACCTCAAGTAAGCATGTATGAGCTTTGGGTCTCTGAAGGCTACGTTATGAACCAACAAACCTTCTACTCTTGCACTCAGCTTGAAAAGAGGCAAATGCAAACAAAACCCATAGCTCTGGTCCCATCCTAAAGAAACATCTCTTTTGATCTGGGGGGGGGGGACCAGCTCAGTGTCCATACATGTAAGAGGATCACAGTGTTCATGAATGAATGAGTGACTGATGTCACCTGTGTCTGGGTTATGTAGGGCTTCCTAGTTCCGGTGGTATGGATGAAAAGGTAGGCCAAGGTCATGATGGTTTGGGTCCTCTGGGTTCAACCGCACCAAGCCTGTGTTTTGAAGGCCTGTGAATATTCATTCCTGCCCCCTCCCCAGCTCTCCTCTGGGACCTGGGAATGGGGAAAGAGAAGCTATGGTTGTGGATGATAGAAGCGGCTGAGTCTGTTGGATGAGCGGCTTCTGGGATGTCTGGATGTCTGCATCTGCCCCCCGGCTGTTTCTGACGATCAGTGAGGGTACCCAAGACCTCAGTCCAGAGCCCACGACAGAATTGTCAGAGTCTGTCCTCATTATCTCCACAGCAGCCTGGGAGGGTTGTCGTTATCACCCCCCCCCCATTTTAGAAATGCGGACACAGGCTCTGGAGAGGGTGGTGCTTCCAGAGGTCACAGAGTAAAAAAGCAGTAACACCTGCCACCTGAGCGGCACCATGCTGGCTGGGAAGGGAAGTCATCAAAAGTGTTCACAGAGTACCCATCATGCTATGCCCCAGCTCCACCCTGAGCGTTGTGGCACGAGGTTGTCACCCAAATTCATGTGCTGCTGATCTGGTGAAGACCTAGGGCCAGCCTCCTCGCTAATCAGGGATAACCAGCTCATCCTCTCAGCTTCTGATCCTATTATTTCATTCCAGAGTTCAAAGTGTGGCTCCAGAGGCCCAGGGACTCTAAATGGATTTAAAAACTAGGGGAACAAGGTGCTCCTCACTTCTCAGAGGAAGCTCCCCCAACTTTCAGCCATGCTGCATCTTCTAGGGAAGGTCAAGCCATCTGTACCTCCTGCCCATGGCCCAGCCCAGTTCAGTTTAAGAAGGCTCTAAAACCTCAGATCTGCCCGCCACCAGGTCCCTAGCTGACCTTACACCTCAAGCTAGTGTGAAACTTACTCTTAGCCCAAGGCAGAATGGACTTCAAATTTTTTTTACACTTCTTTATTTATAATGTGTGTATGCCAGGTGTGATGGCCCACACCTTTAATCTTTACACTTGGGAGGCAAAGGCAGTTGAATCTCTGTGAGTTTGAGGCCAGCCTGAGCCACATAGTGAAATCCTAACTGAACAAAAAACAAAAATGAATAATAAAATGTGCATGTATGTATGCTACTGTGCATGTGTGTGTGTGTGTGTGTGTGTGTGTGTGTGCTCGCAAGCATTGTGCATGTACATGTATGTGTGTTTTGTGTGTGCATGTATGTATGTGTGTGGATGTATTGTGTGCATGCATTGTGTGTGTTTGTGTGCATGCATGTGTGTGTGCGCACACATGTAAGTGTCAGTGTGGCTATAGGTCAGGGAACAACTTTGAAATGATTCCCTCCTTCCACCATATGGGTCCCAGGAATCCAGCTTGGATTGTGAGGCTCAGCACTAGGCACTTTGGCCCACTAGCACCCCCAGAATGGGCTTTGGTTAAGTATTTGATTGGTTTGCTATCTTCTGTCTCCTGTTTCCAAGGACAGAGGCATTGCCCAAGGTCGACAAGCACCTGTTATGGCTGGGACTGGCCTGCAGGGGGCAGGAGTCACCAGGGCTAAGTGGATAACGAGTGTGGATGCTGTGCCTTTAAGACAGATGCTAAGCAAAGGAAGGGGACAGTTTTTAGGTACCAAACTGTGGTGGTGGTGGTAGGAGGGCTTGTATGGCTCAGTAGGAGTGAATTCATTCAGTAGGGGTGAATAAGTTGTTTCACTCACCACCCATAAAACCCTGAGAGAGGTATCTAAGTATCTAAGTACTAAGATACTAGGTATCTGAGTATCTAAGTATCTAAAGTTCAGTGTGAATCCAGTCAGCAGCAGGTCACCCTGCCTCTGAATTCCAAGCTCTGGTGTGTCTTTTATCTTTTTTTTTTTTTTTTTTTTTTTTTTTTTTTTGGTTTTTCGAGACAGGGTTTCTCTGTGTAGCTTTGGAGCCTATCCTGGCACTCACTCTGGAGACCAGGCTGGCCTCGAATTCACAGAGACCAGGCTGCCTCTGCCTCCCTAGTCCTGGGCATAAAGGCGTGCACCACCAACGCCCGGCTTATCTTTTTCTTTTTTAATATTCACTTATTTTAATATATATATATATATATATATATATATATATATATATATATTGCTCTCCCTGTTAGTATGTATAGCATACATGTGCTGGTGCCTTCAGAGCTCAGATGAGGGACATTGGATGCTCTAGACCTGGAGTTACAGAAGGTTGTGTGCAACCCAGCAGGTGCTGGGAACCAAACCCAGTCCTCTGAAAGAACAGCAAGTGCACTTAACCACCAAGCCCTCTCTCCAGCCCCTCTCGGTGGGTCTTAGTGCCAACTACAGGTTAGAGTCCCCAAGGGAGTAGAGCGGACAGCCTCAGAGAGCCATCTACACCCACTGAACAGGGATTTCAGAGCAGGTTCCAACAGCCAGGGCTGGGAACCTCTGTTAGTTGATGCTTTTTCTCTCTGTCTAGTTAGACTCGAGGCTTAATGTGAGCCACACCACAGACAAGGGGCAGTAGGAGGATCCAGTGTTCGAGGTCATAGTCAAGGGCAGCCTGAGTTCAAAACTCAGGACCCTCATGGTAGAAAGAGAAAGTTGACTCCAAAAAGTTATCCCGTGGCTTCCACAAGCTGCCTCTCCTCACACAAATCAATAAATGTAATTTTAAAAATCAACAAGCAAGACTAGGGGGTGGGATGGGGGCGGCGGCGGCGGCATCACTCGCCTTTAATCCCAGCACTCAGGGAGCAGGGGCAGGTGGATCTCTGAGTTTGAGGTCAGCCTGGTCTACAGAGTGAGTTCCAGGACAGCCAGGGCTACACAGAGAAACCCTGTCTCACCCCCCCCACACACACACAACCCCCCTCCAAAAAAACCAAAACAAACCCAGTACCTCGGAGGCAGAGGCAGGAGTACTCCTCCACAAGTTCAAGGCTAGCCAGAGCTACAGAGTAGTCCAGACAATCTGTTTCCTTGATTTTACAGGAAACACACTTTATTTATTACCTAGTATAGCCCATGTCTCCTCTTTAGTTTGTCTGCAAGCCTCTCCCGATCTCCACAGACTGTTAATAGCACTCCCCTGTCATTATCAGAGTTTGCCTGTCTCCTTCTTAGCATTTATCTTTTTGTTTTGTTTTGTTTTGAGACAGTGTCTCTGTAGCTTTGGAGGCTGTACTGGAACTAGCTCTTGTAGATCAGGCTGGTCTTGATCTCACAGAGATCCGCCTGCCTCTGCGAATTACAGGCGTGCCGCCACCACCGCCCGGCTGTGTTTATCTTAAATATGGTAAACCGTTGTGCTTCTCACTCTCTCTTTCCCACCAGCTGGGATATAAACTGCTGTTGTTCCTCTCCATTGTTTCCAGAGCCAAGCACAGCGCCCGGCACATACACGCTGGGCAAACGATACTTCCTTCTTCCACTTGAATAATTACTTATCAGTGCCTATTATGTACCACAGGCTTTCCTGTATGCACTTTATTAGCCAGACAGGGAAAGTCCCATTTTCTAACGGAGGAAACCGAAGCTCAGGAATAGAAGGCGATCGCAGGCAGAGACGAGCCTCAACCTCAGAACCCACGTCCTTTCCCACTCATGGGAGGCCGTTGAACCTGACCCCTGGCCCAGCGTAGTACTTCCTTCGTGCTGTTTTGCATTTACGTTAGCTGTCTGTTCTTCCCTTCCCAGCCCCATGGCATCTTCACCCTCTTTCCTGCCCTTTAGCTGTTTCCACTCAGGCTCCTCCTTTCGTCCTCAGGGAGCGGCCCCTCCCCACTTCCCCTCCTCCTGGAGTATGGCCCAAACAAGGCATCAAGAAACTGCCTTGACTAAACCGTCCCCTAGTCAGCAACGGCACACAGCGCCACAGGCATGGTGAACCAGCCAGCGATCTCCTTTTTAGCCTCCTAGGAGGGAGTCTGTGCCACCCACTGGGCAATGCATCCAGCCATCTTCTCTAATGAGATTTCTGACCAGACACCCAAACAGGACAAGAGTCCCCCGGAGAGGAAGCAGTCTGGGCTGAAGTCTGATTGCATCAGGGGCCTGGGCGTGGGTCAACCTCTTGGTCTATCTCTGGCGCCCCCTGCTGGGGGAAAGCTGGATGCAAGGAAACAAGACTGGGTACCCGGCTACAATTGCAGCTCTCAAACAGGGGCATCAAGGCTTGGGAAGAATTCTCTAGACAAAGCAAGGATTTGGAGGGACAAGGACCATCCAGTCATCTGTGAAGTTCCAGCTGTGGGACTTCCAGGACCATTTTAAAAAGGCAGCCTCCCTGTTCCGCACTCCAACGAAGCCGGTGAAAGTCTCTCTGCCAGGAGTAGGCAAAGGGTGAGGAGGAGGACCAAGACACCTTGGTCACGTCCTCTGTGCCAGGGTCACCTCCAGCCTGCCCCCCCCCCCGCCCCTCAGGGCCATCTCTTGGCTTCCCAGGGGTCAGGGAGCTTTTACAGAGCAAAGAGAGCAGAAGGAAAGAGCTAATCACAGCTGAGGGTTCAGCTGTGCCGCCAGCCCCTGGGCCTCATCCCATGTCAACGATGAGGCAAGTGTGAAAAATGGAGCGTAATAGAGACGTCACAAGATCTCCCAGGCCCTCGACTGAGAACCGCCTTGCTGTCCACCCAGCTGGAATTGCCAGTGGCTGATGAAGCGTGCTCATCCGGCTCACTGCTCTCCATAAGAGACATACATCTCCCTGGGGTCCTGCGTGTGCATGCATGTGTGCGGTGTGTGTGTTTGTGTGTTTGTGCGAAGACAGCTTTGCAAGCTGTGAGGCACCCTGGCTTTGGGGGCCCAAACTAGCCAGCTTTCCCTTCTGGATCTGCTGGCCTAATTCCCAGCTGCAGCTGCCACCTTGGGTCCCCCTCCCCAAGGCAATCTCCCTGCATATTTGGCAGCATGGGAAGGAGGGGCTGAGGGAAGTGGAGAGAAGCAGAGAAGGCTCTAATGCTCTAATCTGATGTTGATGATCCGAAAGGCTTCCCAGTGCCCATGCCCTCTGCCATCGACTCTCCAGGGGATTTTTTTCCGGTGCCATGCACTCTTCCCTTCTGCCTTTGTCTCCTTAAGAAAGTTAAACCTAGACACACAAACACACATACAAACCACCAGGAAAAAAAAAAAAATCAGCCGGAGCAGGCAGACGAGCACGCGCGCACGGGCTCAGCTCTGTCCTGGAGGAAGATCGGCACAGGCAGAGAGACTGCTGGGGTTGGCAGTGACTCAGACTGAGGTCTCCTGGTCCCCCAGGAGCCTCCTTCATGGACCCAGAGATCACCCGAGGGGCTGCATTAGTGTAGCATGGGCAACTGTGTCAAGTCGCCATTAAGAAACCTCTCGAGAAAGGTATGTTTTTGGAGCCCCCACGTCCCGGTTGCTGGGGTTTGGGGCATCTTGCTGCCCTCCCCAGAGGGCACAGAGTGGGTGGGCATCTAATACTCGCTACCCTTCCCAGGGTGTCTGCCCAAAGCTGTGTTCCTGTTCCAACTTCAGGTTACCCTCCCTTCTATTCTTTTGTCCTAGGCAGGCTCTGAACTAAAGTTAGGGTTTAAGGCTGCTTGGGTGGGAGTGGAGGGGCAACAGGGTCCAGGAAGGCCATATTTGGGATTCACACAAGAGCTGAGAAAAAAATCGTGTGACTTTGGGACTTGTGGGGTGTAACATGAAAAGTGTGGATTCTTAGGCTGTGAGTCTATAGCTACCCTAGAGCCTTCCAGAATCAGATGCTTTCCAGGAGCAGGCCCGAGGGCTCTCAGGGGGTCAGGGCTCCTTGCTGGTACTCAAAACTTCAAAGCCTTCAAAACTGGGGTTTGAAGGAACCCCACTAACTACGCAAATTTCTCCTTTTGCTTCTACCCATAGTAATTCTTGAGTCAGGTGTGAGAGTGTCAAAGGACCGGGTCTTAGAGCCCAATACGGCTTCTTTTGAGACACAGGGTGCCCAAGAGATATGTGGATCAGGAGTGTACATGCGTGAGTGGATTTATTGCTTATATTCTAGGACAATATTCTTTTGCAAGAATTCCTTTGGAAAAGCAAGTGTTTCCCCTCGGGTGTCTTTTGAAAAGTCTGGGTCGCCTCTGCAGCGTGTTTGTTCCAGGTGGGCTTTGCCTGTGTTGCTAACCCTCCATAGTCAGGTCATAGACTTGTGTTAAAGACGATGGAGCTGATAAAGATATCTGCCTTCCATATTTTCATTTTCCAAATAAGAAATGGATTGCCAAATGAGGGGGCGGGGATTGGAGGGTCAGGTGACTCATGTAAGGTCTTGGATTGGCTGATGGAGCCTTCACTCAGGTCCCATCCCATCTTTTCCATTAGGTTTCTGACCTCTCAATTTAGGACACTTGGGGCTTTTTAGCCTGTCGCCTTCCTCATTTGGCTAAGCTGCTCACATCAAATTCCATTTAATCTTCGAGGCTCCTTGGATTGCTCGGAGGGCTGATGGTTTCTATTGTGTATCCCCAGTGCTTCATGGTCTGTCATTCTTTTAGAGGAGGCATCTGCCTCGGAGGTAGAAGCCTATCCGAATCAGAGAGGATCACAGGCAGATACCCACACAAAGGGTCCTAAGCTTGAAGAGGTGAAATAATGAGCAAACCCTTTCCTCTGTAGACCACACAGGTGTCCTCTTTCTGGCCGTGTGATCTTGGACAAATTACTTGACTTTCTGTGACTTAGTTCCTTCACCTATCAGTCAATTGGCTAATGTCTACCTACATCATCCAGCGTGTGTGTATTAATGGGGATCAAACCCAGAGCCTCACACATCCCTCAGGCCTGATGTATAGCTTTTGTTTTGTTCTGCTTTTTAGAAACAAGGGCTTATACTGGAACCTACGCCTCAGCATCTTGCATATTGGGATTACAGGTATGAGCCAGTATGGCTGGCTCCTAATTCTTAACTCTTTTTTTTTTTTTTAAGACAAGCTCTCATTTTGTAGCTGTGACTGGTCTGTAATTCACTAGGTAGACCAGGCTGGTCTCAAACTCAAAGATCTCCTGGCTCTGCTTCCAAAGTGCTAGGATCAAAGGTATGCATCCCCACACCCAGTCCCTAGTATGCAACTCTCAGAATGGTGGTCTGCTAAGCACAATGCCAAGTGTATCGTACTAAACACACGTTAGTATCACCACCAGAGATGAAGGGTGGGGTAGGGAAGCAGAAAAGATGGGGATGGTTACCCCTGCTTTCAGGTTTTTGTTTTGTTGTTGTTTGTTTTGTTTTGGAGGTGAGGCCTCTGTTTGTAGCCCAGGCTGTCCTGGAACTCAAGATCCTCCTGCCTCAGCTGCCACACGTTAAAAATATAATATAGGCATGAGCCATCACATCCCAGCAGAGCTTATTCCCCAGAACCTCGCGCAGGCTAAGCCTGCGCCTCTACCACCAAGTCAAGGTGCAGCTGGCAAGGTGCTGAGTCCACTGGATAAGTGATCTTAAACCTTAGAAGTTATTTCTTTTTCTGGATGATTTGCAACATATCAGACATCTACCATCTCACTTGCTCTTCTCCACCAAATAGTCCTTTTGGCTAGTTTGCAGGGAAGGGAGCTGGATTCAGAGATAAGGGTTTCTGAGGTCACTCGGTCGCTAGCAAGCAGAGCTGGGATTTAGAGCCTGCACTGTGTAAAGTCAGAGCTGGTGTTTTTATGTGTGCCTTTTATTTCTCCTGCTGCCAGAAATGTTATTCATAATTTCCCAAATATGACCTTCGAGATCGTCTACTCCAACTCCCTACTCTGTACAGCAAAATGTCCGCTCCCATCTCATTAAGCACAGCGCCCTTCAAGCTCTCCTTGGCCATGAGCAGAGGGGGAGGGGGAGTTGACCTATGTGCGTGCCCTCGGCCAGCTTGCATTGTTAGAGAGCCAGAGGTCCTGATGTTCTCTGATATGCTAGCCTCTCCTGGTCCCAAGCTAGACGTTATTGGCCCCTGGCTCAACTTCTTGAGTGGAAGTGGGGAGCTGGACTTGGTGATAAGTAGCCTGCTTCAGGCCCTGAACTGGCCAGAATCAGCCTGTCAGGTGCCATCATTGCTGGCTGGGGAAGAATGGCTACATCCTGGGGCAACTTGGTGCCAGGCAGAGTTATAATCAAGAGATGCAGTGGAAATTTCCCAGCCACCACTGGTTCCTTCTTCGTGGGAGCAAATTCCTCTCCACCTTCTCATTTCTTTGCTGATTGGCAGATGTTCCTCCACTTCCTCTGGAGCCAGAAGTAAATGCCTTCTGGCACCCAACATCTCTTAACTTGCTCTATCAGCATCAACGTCATCATCAGCACCATCATTGCTGTAACTACGGCAACTTCATTTATTTGGCTCTTACTGCGTTCTACACACAATGCAAAAAGCACTTTATAGGCAGGAGCTCAGTTGCTGCTCACAAGGACCTGTGGCTACAGATGATTGCCCCCAGTGTGTGGAGGATGCTGGGGCGCAGGCAGATGACGAGAGTGGCACATCAAGGTCACACAACAGGCAAGTGGCGGACCAGAGCTTTTCCCGAGACGGAGTCCATAGCCAGTACATTAAACTCTTAGGATTCTGTGCCACCTGCTGCCACCTCCTTCTAGAGAAGCCAACATGTGTGAGATTCAGCCAGAAACAGAAAGTCTGCTTTTCCACAAACATCTCCAATCAGATTGCTTCCTGGAGTTACCCACCCCTAACTCCCATCTAGTCCTGGGCTTCTCTTAGACCCCTTCTTGCAGGGAAAGACTCTCTTGTCTTTACTAGTTCCTGCACAGGTTCAGAGGTGTGGGTGAATGGAGCAGAGACTCAAGCTAGAGTAGGCCTTGGTCTGTCTGACATCCTCCTGTTCAGAGGTTTCCGACACCTGCCCCTTGAGCCTTGGTCTGAGTCATTGTATCTCCTCTGAGGAACAGATATACTGCTCTCCCCTCTCTAGGTCTGGAGGGGGCATAGGGTGGTAGAAGGGGCTGGCATCGAGTCTCCATCAGCAGCCCCTCTGGAGGAGGGCTTGGGGGAGAAGTGTGGGAGAACAGGATAAGGGAGGCTCCTCCAGCACAGGCTGCCCCGGTCTACATGTGACCTTTGCTCAGTTAGAGGCAGCTAGTTGGAAGAGGGCTGGATGGGACAGAGAGAATATAGCTGTGTGTGTCCCAGACAGACAGTCCTCTTGGGAGTCCAGCTACCCTGCCTGTCCTTGGGGCAAGTTCTGCCCCAGACTCCCACGCTGAAGAGAGGCTGTCCCTTGCAGGGTACAGTGCTGAGACCTGGATTCTTGAGAGGCACTGGGCATGCTGGGAGGCCTGGGTTCAGCCATATGTTGTGTCTGGATGCTGTTGTTGTTCTAAGGGGAGGGTCTGTGCAGCCGTGCTGACTTTTCATAACTGTGTGGGAATCTACAGGGAGGACGAAAGACTGGCCAGGGCCTGAGAGTGCAGCTATATTCGGTCAGCTGGCGAGGCCCCAGCCTCAGCCTCTAGAGGTCAAGCAGGCCAAGCCAGCCTGGGCATGGAGCCAGGGAAAGAGGGAGGGTAGGCAAGGAAAATTGCTGGAAGACTGCCCAGCCGTGCCGTCACGAGCAGGTGGAATCTGGGTCCAGGTGGGTCTTGTTTTCCCGCCGGTGCTTTGGACCAGATTTGGCACCTGTGAGCTGGAATGCAGTAAGTACAGCTGCCGGGTTAGAGTGGGCACACGGCACCCGTTTGCCCCATCCCCACCTCCTACAGCCTACCTGTCGCCTCATTTGTCAGCAACGGCATCTATGTTTGTGACTTCCAGTCAGCAGACTTGTGGAGCATGTTTGTTCTCTGTGTAGCTGGGAGACAAGGATGCAGGCCTGAGGGTTGAGCTGAGACACTGGGGACACTTGGGGGAAGGGCATGTTTCTGTGTGACACTTTGAGTTGGGGCAGAAGCCTCCCTCTGTCTGCTTCACTCTCTGTACTGCATGCACACAAGTGCGTGATTCCCTGATACACGTGTGTGTGTGTGTGTGTGTGTGTGTGTGTGTGTGTGTGTGAGAGAGAGAGAGAGAGAGAGAGAGAGAGAGCACCCTACTTCTAGCCTCACATCTAACTCTCCATGGGACAACTATTTCAGCCAAGGATTGGAGTCTCCATCTGTTGGATCAATTATATACCATACTGTACATGCTAAAGCTCTCAACTTCAACAAGGGACTCTCAAGGATGTCCTAGAATCAACAGCCAGGCTGGGGCTGGGGGGCCCAGATGAACAGGGAGGTGACACCTCACCCCTCTTTTTATTTGCTTGGTGTTGGCTGAAGATGCGCCAGGAGGAGAAGACCAGCTACATGGTGGTGCAGACAAGTGAGGAGGGACTGACAGCGGGCGGTGAGCTTCCCGGACCACTCATGATGCTGGCCCAGAACTGTGCCGTCATGCACAACCTGCTGGGTCCTGCCTGCATTTTTCTCCGGAAGGGTTTTGCTGAGAACAGACAGCCTGTACGTAAGTCAGCCCAGTGCAGCTGGCCAAACCTGGCTTCATAGGGCATGAGGAGGTGCTGGGAAGAGAAGGGGTTCTTCTGTATGCAGCAGCCCATTCATGGCTCCAGAGTGAGTCTGTATCAACCAGCAAGAAATAATTAAAGCAGGGGACTGGAAAGATTGCTTAATGGTAAGAGCACTGGCTGTTCTTCCAAAGGACCTGATTTTGGTTCCTAGGACACACTTGGCGCCTCACAACCATCTGTGACTCTAGTCCCAGGGGGATCCGATGCCCTCTTCCTACCTCCATGAGCATCAGGCATGTACATCATACACATGTATTCATGCAGGCAAAACACTCAGACAAAGTAAAATAAATCTAAGTAAAGTTTCTTAAACAAAATAAAAAGAAGCAGAGGCTGGGGAGATGGTGTTTGGTAAGGGACCCAAGTCAGTCCCTAACACCCACTAAAAAGCTGAGTATGGTGATGGTGCTTACACATCCAGTGCTGGGGAGTCAGAGACAGGGATAGCCCTAGGGCTTACTCGACAGCCTGAAAGCAGTGAGCCTCAGGCCCAGGGACAGACCTCCCTGTCCCAAAAACATAAGTGGATGGGGCAGGGGATGGACTGGTGAGAAGGCTCAGTTCCCAGTACCCACATCAGGTAGCTCACAACTGACTCCAGCTCTGTGGGAATCTGATGCCCTCTTCTGGCCTCCAAAGGTACCTGCACTCATGTGTGTGTACACACCCCATTAAAAAAGGTGGGAGGAGTCTGAGGAGTAACATCCAAAGTTGACCTGTCCTCCACATACACACACCTACATATGCAAACACACATACCCCTGCACACACACACCCCTGCAAACACACATCTACACACACACCCCTGCATGCACACCCCTATACACATATACCTGCACATGCAACCCTGCACACGTACCTAAACACACATACCTGTACATGCAGCCCTGCACACACACCTACACACACACACCCCTGCCACACACACCTGCACACACATGGATAAATAAGCGTATACAATTCTATGGGAGACTTACAATGTGCCCACAGCATACTGAGGAAACCAACACTATTGGAGATTTGCCTCACAAAAGCCCCAACTCCCACAGGTAGGTGCTTTACCACCCCCATTTCACAGGTGGGGAAACTGAGTCTGATGCAGTAGCATATTTGAGGTCACACTAGCAGGAGTCAGAGGTAGGATTCAAACTCAGATCATCACCCGATTCTGCAGTGTCTGTCTTCTTACCAGCAATTCCATGTACTCAGGTGGTCTCCTGATATTCTACTCTGTGATATCCAGTGTAGCAGCCACTGACCTCGTGTGGCTATTGACCTCCAGGGATGTAGCTAATGAACGGAATTATTATTAATTTTTATTTTTACTTTAATTAAAAGCTCTGTTTTTGCTGAGGATTGAGCTCGGGGTCTTGTACATGCTAAGCACATGTTCTATCTTGAGCTACACCCCTGCCATCCAATTCAAATGTAAGTAGCCATGTGTGGTTGGTGGCTACCGTACTGAACAGCCTCTTGCAGGTGTCTGAGCTGTCACAGGGAAGTGGGTGATGAGGATGTTATGGATACAAACATTTGTAGGTTGCATTGATTAAATCTCACACTGGGAATACGTGCCTCGAGGAATGCCCACAAAGGCCCTATGAGGTAGGCACTGGCATGGAGCCATGTGACAGCTGAGGAAGCTGGCATAGTGAACAGGAGTGACCCTCAGCTGGAGGTAGCAGCTACAAGAATTAACACCTGGGTCTGTCTGACTCTAGGTTCTGGGGGCTTTTCTCTAACTGCACAAACTGGGAAGGAAGTATGTATGTTCCCAATGCTGTCTATGCCTCCTCCCCCAGATTAGTGCATATCTCAGTGTGTAACCCTAACCACTCCAGACATAACACATTCCTCCACTGCCCTGCATGGGTTTGGGGGCCATTAGGTGAGCCTGGGAACAGCCACCAGGGCTGCTGTTGCAGGCTCACTGTGAGGAAGTGCCTCACTTTGCCTCTTGGAATCTGGGAACACAAACACAGAGGAAGGCACTGCAGTGTGCACTTCCTCCCCAGACCTGCAGAACTCGGTCCTGGAAGGGCAGCTAGATGCTTAGGGTCTGGGGATTGGAAAGGCCTAATTCTGGTTAAGTAGGTTGTGCCACTGAGTATATTTTGCATATTCATGTACAGATTCGTACAATCAGTTCCCCATATCCGTGGGTCCCCACATTTGGAGATTCAAGCAACAGGAGATCAAGAAATAATTTTATTTATCTTATTTTGGAGACAGGGTTTCTCTGTGTAGCCCTGGCTGTCCTAGAACTCACTCTGTAGACCAGGATGGCCTTGAACTCAGAGATCAACCTGCCTCTGCCTCCCGAGTGCTGGGATTAAAGGCGTGCACCACCACTGCCTGGCAAGAAATAATATTTTTAAAATTGGCATCTGAGTCTGGTGAGATGGTTCGGCAGGTAAAGGTGCTTGCTGCCAAGTCTGATGACCTGAGTTCCATCCTCAGATCTCACATGGTCAAAGGCAAGAATTGATTCCTGCAAGTTGTCTTCTGACCTACACACACCACACACACATAGACACCCCACACATACACACACACACCACAAATAAGTTGTTAAAAACCTTTCATCTGGGGTTGGAGAGACTGCTCAGCGGTTAAGAGCATACACTGTTCTTGAAGAGGACCTGAGTTCAGTTCCCAAAACTCACCTGAGTCTAACAACTGTCTGTAACTCCAGTCTCCAGAGATCTGATGTCCTCTTGGGGGTTCTTAGGGCACCAGGCCTGCAGGTGGTACACATACACACTTGCAGGAAAAACACTCATATACATCAGATAAAAATAAATCTTTAAAAATTTTTAAGTAAAAGATAAAACCCTGTACCTGCGCTGAAAACACACAGATTATTTTTCTGTCCTCATTTTCTAAACAACACAACATAGCAACTATTTGCATAGCATTTGCATCATATAAATAGAATAAGTCATCTCAAGAGGATTTGAAGTATACCAGAAGAGGTATGTAAATTATATGCAAATAGCATGCTGTTTTATGTAGAGGACTTGAGCATTTTTGGATTTTGGCATGCCTGGGGTTTCTGGAATCAATCCCCCACTGATAGTAAGGGATGACTGCACACACTTATTTTCATGAACTGGTGATATAATAATGCATGGAAATAAATCTTTTTGGCCACCCAAGAATGTCCAGGGACATATATTTCCATCTGGGAGCGGGAGTGACCCCTGTGCCACACAGACTCTGCCAACCTTTTAAGGGAAAATCCTTGTATCACTGTTATGGAGACAACACCCCCTTCAAATAGCTCTTTCCCCTCAGCTAGAAATGCGTCCTGGGAGGACCTGGGAAGTCTGTAGCCTGCTCATTCCAAACTCACACACTTTGAACAACAACACAACCCTTTCCTTTGGACAGGATCCTCAGGCTGGGTGCCTGTATCCGGGAGTCATTGTCTGGGTGCACCATTGTCTGGGTGCGCCATTGTCTCCACCCTTCTCGGCCCCACTGACTGAAACAGCCTTTGTGACCAGATGAGATGACTCATGCTCACTATAGCATTCTGTTTTGTTTTGTTTTGTTTTTCAAGACAGGGTTTCTCTGTAGTTTTGAAGGCTGTCCTGAAACTCGCTCTGTAGAGCGGGCTGACCTTGAACTCACAGAGATCTGCCTGTCTCTGTCTCCCAAGTGCTGGGATTAAAGATGTGCGCCACCACCGCCTGACTCACTATAGCATTCCTATATGTCCGTGTTAATGACATGGGTCCCTGTTCCTGCTGTGAGCCTACTAAGGTCACAGACCTAGCTTGCTCTTCCCATCCGGAAGCAGAGAGCTGGAACATGGGCACCCATATCTTCCCTGTACCTGTCCGTCTCCTTCCTGAGCAGGCCTGGGGTGGTAGCTGTCACCACCAGGGCCCTACCCCATGTTTCTCTAAATTTGTTTTATGGAGGTTTCTCTGGTACCAGTTTTAGTGCTGAGTTTCTGTGGTTCCCCATGGAGATGTGGGCCCTTCTGGAGGCTGCAGATATGTGCTTTGGACACTGGCAGCCCCGGGTCCTATGCTGTGTCCTATAATGGACAGGGTATAGACATAGGGTCACATTGGGTGACAGGGGACAGTACCAAGGATGCTGAACACAGCTCCAATTCTTCCTCATATAGCCTGAATCCCCTTTTCTCTTTCTGGGGCTGCCTGTATGGCCCTTACCTGCTCTCCTCCTGTGGTCCCCCATCCCTTATTGCCCTGCCAACTTCTGATGCCTGGCTCTTCCTGGAGTCCTTGGGTGGTGACTTCCCTTGGCCCTACTTTATTTACAGGTTTTTGTCTCTGGACCAGCTTTGTTCCCAACTCATTGTTGTGACTGGATATGGGTGCGGCACTTTGGTGGCCTAGTCTCTGTGGGTACTGTTGAGTTTGGGACTCCTTTGCCAATGTTCTGCGACTCTAAGACTTGGAGACTGCATCTTTCCCTCTCAAGGTCCAGAAAGACCTCTGCTCAGTGTCTATCACTTCTCACCTAGCACCTGCTGCCATTTGACTGGCCCCCATTGGATGGGCCCCCAATGGATGGGCATGTTATGAGTTCTAGGTCCCTTGCTGCTGCTAATGTGATATGTTCTCTTGTTTCAGGACAGATCATTACGACCAGAGGAGATTGAAGGTAAAGTCACACTCTCAGGGAAATGGCTGCTCAGATCTATAGGAAGGTGTGGGTGGGTGTTTTTTTTGGGGGGGGTTGTTTTTCTGAGACAGGGTTTCTTTGTGTAGCCCTGACTGTTCTAGAACTCACTCTTTAAACCAAGCTGGCCTCAAACTCACAAAGATCCACCTGCCTTTACCTCCCGAGTGCTGGGACTAAAGGCGTGTTCCACCACGCTCAACAGGTTTGGTGTTTTGAGACAGGGTTTCTCTACACAGTCCTGGCTGTCCTGTAACTCATTATGTAGAATAATAGGCCAGCCTTGAACTCACGGAGACCCACCTGCCTCTAGGTGTTCGTGGGAAGAGTCCCTAGCACAAAGCAGGACATACTGGGCAAACTGAGAGCTCTAGAGGACTCCAGGGTGAACCTCTCTGAGCTGGTCCCTGGGATGTTCTTTGGGTCCTCTCTCCAACAACATCTGCCCCTTTTCACTCCCCCAGAGCTCCGAGAGGCCTTCCGAGAATTCGACAAGGACAAAGATGGCTACATCAACTGCCGGGACCTGGGAAACTGCATGCGCACCATGGGCTATATGCCTACAGAGATGGAACTCATTGAGCTGTCCCAGCAGATCAACATGAACTGTGAGTCCCTGTCCTCCAGGTCACCCAGGCCTGGGATCAAGGGTTGTTGTTTTTTTTTTAAGATTTATTTATTATGTATACAGTATTCTGCCTGCATGTATGACTGCTTACCATAAGAGGGTGCCAGATCTTGACAGATGGTTGTGAGCCACCATGTAGTTGCTGGGAATTGAACTCAGGACCTCTGGAAGATCAGTCAGTGCTCTTAACTGCTGAGCCATTTCTCCAGCCCCAGGGATCAACTTTTGTATCCAGCTCTGGGGCCTCGTTCAAACCACTCTTCTTCTGAGCCTCAGTTTCCCCCCATGTAAAGCAGGGTTGTAATGAGACAGTAGAAGTAAGTTAGGAGAGAGGTGAATAACAGCCTAAAACCGGGCTCACAGTACAAGTCGAGGATGCTGCTGTTAGCATTACGAGGTCCTCTATCTTTACCTGGGTTCTTCAGAAACAGGGTTCGAGGCATTTATTAAATAAGGGAAGGAAAGTGCAGGAGGGAGCAGTGACATGGGAAGGGGGGAAGGGGGGGCCCACACTGCCAGTCCCTGCTGAAAGTTGTAGTCAGCAGGCAGGTGCCCTGTCTGCTTTCACCCCCTGAGAGTGACTTGGAAGTTGAGTTTATATTTGCACAGCTAAAGTAAAGTAAGGCTTGGGGCACTTGTCCCCTTTCAGCCTTCCTCCAAGAGCATCTTGGCTTCTTCATCTCTGAAATTCTTCACCCAGCTCTGAGGCCCAGTGCTTTTTTCTCCATCCCTGTTTCCTTTTTGTCCATGTTTGTCCCTTTCCCACTCCCTGGCCGCTCCTCAAGTCATTCTTTGACAAGTCTGCGGTCTGTCCTTGCCAGCTGAGGTCACACCCGAGGCCTGGAGATGGGGGAGACCAAGGAGCTTGCTTATCGAGAGATGGACAATGGGTGGGTTGAGGATGACCTACTTCCCCTTTGTTTGCTCCAGTGGGTGGCCATGTGGATTTTGATGACTTTGTGGAACTAATGGGACCTAAACTCCTGGCGGAGACAGCAGATATGATTGGTGTAAAGGAACTGAGAGATGCCTTTCGGGAGGTGAGTGACAGCTGGTGACAGGCAGGGGTGGGCAGGCTGAATCCCAATCTCCGGATGACAATTAAGGGTTCTAAATCCCCGGGTCCCAGACCATGGGAAGGAACTTGGCTAGAAAAGGAACCCTGGGATGGGGGACGCTGCTCCGTCTTGAGGTCTGCTGCCCATCCATGCAGCGTTCTATCCCTCCTTCATACTCTCCAGTTTGACACCAATGGTGACGGAGAGATAAGCACCAGTGAGCTTCGAGAGGCCATGAGGAAGCTACTGGGTCATCAGGTGGGACACCGAGACATAGAGGAAATTATCCGAGATGTGGACCTCAATGGAGATGGACGAGTGGACTTTGAAGGTAAGCAGGGCTTAACATGGGTGTGAACCGAGCCAGCCACAGAGCTGCTCTAACTGCTGGTGTGCCATGCAATCACCAATTGGACTCAAGTTTTTGTGCTTTGCCCTTCCTCCTTGCCTTTCTTCCATCTTACCTGTGTACACGCCGACCCACCTCCCACACCCACCCCTACCCATGCATCCATCTATTTGGCCATCGTCCATACCTTTCACCCATTCATTTCTTCATCTGTGCACATGCCTGTTCAGTTTTGTATCATCTCTAAAAGCCATCCATACAACCAGTGATCCATGCATTTATCCATCCATTGATGCATCCACTCGTTCTACTACGCATCCACCCATATGTACATCTCAGTATCTTCGTCCCTGACCACATCTCTCTATCCACCTATACCTCTGGGCTTTGTCACACAGTCATACACTTCCTTCCAGCTGCCTGTACTTCTGCCCATATTTCCACTGATCTCTCTATCTGTTCGGTCGTTTCCCCATCGGCTCTACATCCATCTGTTCATACATTTATCCATCCTTGTGCCTGTCGGCCCCATCTGTCTGTTCATCCACTCATGCTATTTTCTGAGGACCACACTCCTCGGCCTGACCTGACCATAGCTCACCATTCCAGACACAGCATCTACCATCCCTTCACCCTGAAATACTCGAGATACGTGAACCTGTGAGGTCTTCCCGTGAATATGCTGTTCTTTGTGCCAGGTGCCTTTCATTTTATTTTCCGCTTGGGCTAAATTGTTTTAATTGCATCTATCTATCCATCTATCTATCTATCTATCTATCTACCTATCTATCCACCCATATCAATCTATCTATTATCCATCATCTATCAATCAATCATCTATCTACCTATCTACCTCTCTATCCATCCATAGCTATCTATCTATCTATCTATCTATCTATCTATCTATCTATCTATCTATGTGTGTGTGTGTGTTCCATGGCATGAGTGTGGAGGTCAGAGATAACCTGCAGGACTTGGTTCTTTTCTTCCCTCAAGTAGATCCTGGTGATCAAACTCAGGTCTTCAGGCTTGGCAGCAAGCACCCTTACCCCCTAAGCCTTCTTGCCCACTCCTGAGTGAATTCTATTCCCCTTCCCAAACCACCTCTTCCCTCCTCTGCAGACTGGGCCTCTTTTCTGGCCTTTGTAGCACTTCAGGTCCATCCCTGTCTCTCACTCTACCCAACAGCTTCCCTGCTTGACTTTGAGATCTCAGAGAAAGAACAACCCTATGTTATCTCAACATTGCCTACATACAAAACACCTCACACATAGACATAGTCACCAGACAGTTTCTTTTTCTTTTCTCTTTTTGGGACCCGTTTTTTCTGTGTAACAGCCCTGGTTGTCCTGGAACTTGCTTTGTAGACCAGGCTGGCCCTCGAACTTACAGAGATCTGCCTGCCTCTGCCTCTCGAGTGCTGAGATCAAGTATGTGAGCCACCACACCTGGCTCCTCAGCAGACATTTTGAGAAGAATCAATAAAATTCATGGTGATCCTTTATCATTTTCATAGCATGTGCTTGTCATTGTCCTCGGTAGCTTTATGTATTTATCTCTTTATTCTCATGATGCCACAGCCTGCTCTGTTATTGCCTCATGTTAAATGAGAGAAAGCTGAGGCTTGGAGAAGTAATGAAGCTTGGTCAAAATTGCCTCACTAAAAGGCGGGCACAGTGGTTCATGCCTTTAATCCCAACACTCCAGAGGCAAAGGAAGGTGGATCTGTGAGTTCAAGGCCACCCTGGTCTACATAGAGAGTTCCAGGACAGCAAGGGCTGTGTAGAGAGACCCTGTCTCAAAACAAACAATTGTCTAACTATTGGAAAGCAGAGTTGGGATACAGACCCAGGCTGGGAGTCTCAGCTGCTGCTTCACCCTGTGCACGGCCCCATTCTTGGCACTGTGGGAGAAGAAGAAAAAAGTAACATATGTATCTAGGGACTTGTCTTCTGTGTAGAAAGCCAAGATGAATGTATGCTTGGGTGTGCCCAGAACACAAGAGTCAGGAGGTCTTTTCTGGGAGCAGCCTGCCTTCAAGAAAAGAGAGACTGAGAGAATGAGAGAAGTCTTTATGGTCGGATATAAGGCCTCAGCTAAGGGCTGGAGAGATGGTTCAGCGATTAAAAGAACTCTAGGCTCTGGCAGAGGATCCAAGTTCCATTGCCAGGACTCACATTCAGTGGTTCACAGACGCCTATCACTCCAAGTCCTGGGCACCTAATGGTCTCTTCTATATGCAGATCACACACATACCCACATGTAGACATACACACACACACACACACACACACACACACACACACACACACACACGCACACACGCACGCACATGTATACATGTGTGCACGCACACACACGATTAAAAATCAAGATGTCTTTGAAAAACTAAGGAGAGGGTATTTATCCCAGTGAGTTGAAGGTGTATGTCAAGGTAGAATCCTGAATATGGATATCTATGGCTGCTTAATGAACAATTGCCAAAACTTGGACACAGCAAAGATGTCCCTCAGTAAGTGAATGGATTAAAAAAACAAACAAGCAAGCAAATAAAACCCTACAAAACTGTGTGTGGTATACCAAGAGACAGGCCTGGAACTATCAGGATGGATCAGACCAGGGAGTGCTGTGAGGCCAACCGACCAGTGGGGAGCTATAGAGATGACCTCAGGGGCCAGACTTGCAGACAAGAAGCTCACAGATGCAGTGTGGAAGCAGGGGGACAAAAAGGGGGCCTTGGGCCATGTTCTGTGCTGGCTCCTGACTGCCACTGTCTCCACCCCCTCCCAGAGTTCGTCCGGATGATGTCCCGCTGAGGCCGCCAGAGCTTCTTCAGGACTGCCAACTCCCACGGGCGGGGAGAAGAGCCGAGCTCGCCTCACCCCGCCGCAGTAGCTGCCGAGAGCCCAGGATGTACTGGCGGATGGGGCCTGCCTGCACCCCGGGGAGGTGCCCACCCCGGACCCCCACCCCTTCGCACTGTGAAAGACTCACAACTCCTGCAACTGGAAAAGGGGGGCGCCCGCCGGCGAGGAGGCCACAGTGAGAAGCCAGTAGAGGACATGCAAGGCGCCAAGTGCCATGTGCCCAGCCACTGCTGGCTGGGTGGGCCAGGGAGCCCGCCAGCAGACCCCACACAGCATGTCTGCCCCAGGGCAGAGCCTTCCAGCGCACTCCTGAGCTCTATGCCCGTCCCAGCTCGCCTAGCCCTTTGATCTCAGAACCAATAAAAAAAAAAAAAACAAAAACAAACAAAAAGAGAGAGAGAGAGAGAGAGGAGAGGAGGGAGAGAGAGAGGAGAGAGAGAGAGAGAGAGAGAGAGAGAGAGAGCCGGGGTGTGCTTTGCTTTGGGCCTGGTTAGAGAATATTCACCTTGCCCTAGAACCTCTGGCTCACCCAGAATTGGACGGAATTTCTTGCCTGCCACATATGTTGACTGAGGAATTATTCTGTACCCAGCAATTTCTGTTCTCATATATTACATAGGCCAGAATATGGTGTTATCCTTTCCTTTTTCCTCTTTCTTCCCTTCTTTCTTTCTTTTTTTTGAGTTTTGTTTTTGTTTGTTTGTTTTGTTTTTTCAAAACAGTGTTGCTGTGTCGCTCTGGCTGTCCTAGAACTCCCTCTGTAGACGAGGCTGGCCTGGAACTTGCAGAGATCCACCTGAGAGCCTAAGAGAGACTACTGTGGTTAGCTGGGCAGCAGCCCCAAATAAGACGTGGTTTTTTTTTTTTTTTTTTTTTTTGCTGACAGAGTCTCCAGCTGGCCTCTCACTAAACCAAGAATAATCTTGAACTTTTTTAAAAAAATATTTTATTGTTATGAGTGCAAGTGTCTTTTTGGTTTTTTGAGACAGGGTTTCTCTGTGGCTTTGGAGGCTGTCTTGGAACTAACTTTTGTAGTCCAGGCTGGTCTCGAACTCACAGAGATCTGCCTGCCTCTGCCTCCCGAGTGCTGGGATTAAAGGCATGCACCACCACCGCCTGGCTGAGTGCAAGTGTCTTGCTTGCCAGCATGTATGCTGTGCCCTGTGTGTGTTCCTGCTTCCCATGGAACTGGAATAGGGGGTCGGATCCCCTGGAACTGTAGTTACCAGACATTTATAAGCTGCCATGTGGGAGCTGGGAATTGAACTCGGGACTTTTGGGAGAGCAATCAGTGCTTTTTAACCTCCTGACTTTGTGATCCTTCACCCTGCCCCCACTTCAGGAGTGCTGGTGTGGTTACTGGAAGGCATTATGGCCCCTGGTTCATGCAGGGCTGAGGATCAAATCCAGGCAAAGCAAGCATTCTACCAACTGAGCCAGATCTCCAACCATGAATTCCCTTTTGACATTGGGGACTGGAGAGACAGGGTAATGTAAGAAGAGAGTGAGTACGGAGAAGTACTCTGTACGGCGGGCACAGCCTCCTAACTCCGGGAGGGTTCGGGCTGCTCAGGTAGATAGATGTCGTGGAAACACATTCATATGGTTGTAGGTCGTGATCCTGCAATGAAGGACGCATACACAGACCCTAAGCAGGGCATGAGGAATCCTGGCCTGCTGAAGGGAGGTGGGGAATATTCCCCTTAGGAAGTGATGCCAAGGGCTTTGCTCTGGAGGAAATCCCATAGTGTGTGAATAGCTAGATAGAACCCCTGAAATGGACAGCAGCTGTGTAGCAGTCAAGCCTGGGCTTGTTTACTGTGTGACATTGAGTAGCTGTGTGCCCTCTCAGAACCTGTTTCCCGGAATGTAATGTGGGATAATACAGAGCAAGCTTGGTCTCTTTAGGGACCATCAGTTGCAGACTGCAATGGATGGGATCATGCCACCTGACAATGTTGAACAGAGCCCCTGAGATCACTGTGTCAGTTTCCACAGCTGATGGGATGGAGGATCTCAAAGGAGATTTGTGAGGAGAAACTGGAATCTTGGGCAGGCTTGGAGCATACTTGGGTGGATATATGCATCCTTTAAGCCTTTGTTTCCCTCCTTCAGAGTGTTAAAGAATCACCTCAAGTTGTGTGTAGTGGTGATGCATACCCTTGATCCCAGCACTCGGGAGGCAGAGACAGGCAGATCTCTGGGGGTTTGAGGCCAGCCTGGTCTATAGAGTTCCAGGATAGCCAGGGCTATACAGAGAAACCCTGACTTATAAAACAAACAAACAAAAACTCGTTTTTTAAAAAGTTGCATTTCTTTATTTTGTGTGTATGTGTGTGGGCATGTGTATGAAGGTCAGAGGACAACTTTTGGAATCAGTTCTTTTCTACCATGTGGTTCCTGGCCCTCAAACTCGAGCTGTTGGGCTTGGCAGCAAGAGCCTTTACCCACTGAGCCATCTCACCAGCCTGGCCTCCCTGAAGGACTAGCTAAGTCACAGATCTGGAGCCCCCCCCCTCTGATTCTAATGCCATATTTAGGGTAAGGTCCATGATTCTCCATCCTTAACAAGATCTCAGAAGAGTCTGATGCTGACAGTCTGTGGACCACAGAACTCCACGGTAAGCCCCTGATACATGCGTGCGGTGTGCTTCCAGGCATCTGAGACAGGCTGCGGGATGTTAAAGACCAGGGTAGGGAGGTAGATGGAGCATTCTGTGCCCCCAGATGTCACAGGAGAGGGAGGATACTTGTTATCAGACCTGGCAGGAAATGTGGGAAGGTCTGTGGGCCCCAGCCAGACGCCTGGGTAATCCGCATGTCCCAGAGGCCAGCAAGGCTGGGAGCTCCAAATTCTCATAATCCAATTCTGAGACTAAGCCCTTGGCTCCATGCCCCACTAGGCAGGCCTACAGCTCTGCTTGTTCCTATACTGGCTTAGCTCTGCTCACGGACTCCAGATCTGTGCTTTTCTGAAATGTAATGGCTTGTAGCTCAATTTGAAAGGCCTCTGTAGACAGCTTTGTCAGCTGGCAGGGGCGGAAGGAGCACTCCAGAAACCTGCCAAGAGAAAGTGGAGCAGACAATGAGCTGGGACACCTCAGTACCTAGTGTGTGGCCTCTTAAGGCCATAGACATAGCAGCTGTGATAAAGGGACTTGAGGAAATAGTCAGGCCCCTGCTGGAAGTCCTGAGTACTGACCCAAAGGGCACAAGGGGCACAAGGGGCTCCTGTCCCTTCTGATGCCTGTGTCTCCTCCCTTGCATCTTAGCTCCTCCCATCCATAGGATTTTTGCTTGTTTGTTTTGTTTTTTCGAGACAGGGTTTCTCTGTGTAGCTTTGGAGCCTGTCCTGGCACTTGCTCTGCAGACCAGGCTGGCCTCGAACTGATAGAAATCCACCTGCCTCTGCCTCCCGAGTGCTGGGATTAAAGGCGTGCACCACCAACGCCCGGCTATCCATAGGATCTCTAAAGATTAGGGTTCCATGACTTCTAGAAGCAAGATGCATTTCCCTAGGCAAGGGTTCCTTCTGCTACCCAGAGCGGTCCTTTGTTTCCTGGTAGGAGCTCCATTGTTACTTCAGAGAAAGCTGGGCACTCAGGAGATGGAGATGGGGGCATTGTGAAATGGAGATCAGTTTGAGCATAGAATTGCACACACAATACATCCCCACCCCCACCACATACACGCTCTAAATAAATGAATAAAATGTCATTTCAAAATTTAAAAAGAAACTGCTGGGGTATGGCTTAGTGGTTAGAGCACTTCCTTACAGAGGCCATAGGTTCATGGGTTGCTCCCCCAGCCCCAGTTCATGAGAAATAAAAACAGGGCGCTTGCCACAGAGCCTGGTGACCTGAGTTCCAGGACAGCCAGGGCTACACAGAGAAACCCTGTCTTGAAATGCCTCCCCCAGAATTTGACTTTTTGCATATGAGTGTTTGGCTGCATGTATGTGCAGTACATGTATGCTTGGTACCCTCAGAGGCCAGAAGAGGGTATTGGATTCCCTGGGACTGGAGTTAGAGAGGGTTGTGAGTCACCACACAAGTGCTGGGAACAAAACCCAGCTACTCTGCAAGAGCAGTAAGTGCTCTTAGCCACCTCTCCAGCCCCAATTTGTAAATTTTTAAAATTTATGTATGTATGTGCATGGGGAGCAGGTGGGGGTGTCTGTGCATGTGTGAGTACTTTTGCCAACAGAAGCCAGAGAGGGTATCGGATCCCCTGGAGCTGGAGTTAGAGTGGGTTGTGAGCTGTCTGACTGGCTGGGTGTTGAGGACCAAAAGTCGGGTTCTCTATCATCCAGTTTTCTTCACTGCCAGCCCATTTCACCAGCCCCAGTGGAATTAATATCTGCACAGGAACCTCCCATCTATGGTAACAAAACAATCATCCCAGATCTGGAATCTGGCTTGATTATCTGGAAATTTATGTCTGTGCCTGGTGGTCCTCCTGTTGTGCCTGGCAGCCTCAGGTTGCAAACCCAGACTGTCCCTCACTCCTTGAGGTACCTGTCACCTTCTCCTGCTGCTGTCACTTCTAGAGTGAGGACAGAGTTCTGAGTTTTGGTTGAAATATAAAATATTCCCCCACTGGATGCAACACTTGGTCTCGGTCCTACTTAGCAGCTCTACTTCTGGAAGTGGTGGGAACTTTGGGGCAACAGGAAGAAGTTCAGTGGGAGCCATCACTCGTTCTGTATTCTCATTCTCTGCCTCCTACTTCCACCACATGGTAAGGAAGCTTGTCAAGGACATGTTCCCTACATCATGATGTTTTTCCAAAGTGTGTGGGGCTATGTAAGCATGAGCTGAACCCTCTGAAACTATGAGCAAGACTAAGCCTTTTTCTCCTTGGAGGTATGTCTAGCATTGTGGTCACAATTATGCCAAAGGAACTAACATGCCCTCCTTGAGCCTCATTCTCTACCATTAGCAATAATTCCTAACTGGTAGGAAATAGCTCCTCTAGGGGCCAGAGAGATGATTCCACAATTAAGAGCATTTAGTGCTCTTATAGAGGGCCAGGTTCAGTTCCCAGCACTCACATATGGGCTCACAACTGTCTGTAACTCCAGTTCCAGGGACTCCTGCACCCTCTTCTGACTTCTGAGAGTACCAGGCATGCCTATACTTATACACTCGAAAGAAAGGAAGGAAAGGAGGGAGGTAGGGAGAGGGGAGCCCCTTTAATCCCAGAACTAGGGAGATTGAGGCCAGCAGAATTCTGTGAGTTCCTGGCAACCAGGGTTACATAATGAGACCCTGTCTCAAGAAAGAAAAGAAAATGTCCATGCATGGTGCTTAGTGGAGGGTGTGGCTCAAGCCCTTCACATATACAGT